TGTGTATGGTGCCTAATATTTTATTTAGTTTGAAATAAATATTTCGTGCCTTAAATCTATGGTGTGAAAATGGGAGGGACATTACAATGTGATATATTTCAGGAGCTTGAAAAGAAATTCTGTTGTGAGCCTTGGTTGTTGGGGAGCACTAATTGGGATTCTTATAAAGGTCTTTGCTTAAACTAAGTGACTCACTCTGGGAATTCTACTCCACACAACTGTGTCAACTTTCTTGAATTAAGTAACTAAGTAATAAAAACATTAATTAAAGTTTATTTACATTCTTAAAGAATGGTTTAGGACTTAGGAGCACGTTTTTTTTACGAACTCCACTCAAGACAATTCATTTTCAGCTCCAGCTCAGGTCCGACAAAATTAAAAGGAGTTGAAGATATGTTGAGTGTTTAAATAAATACTATCTGTTATTAAATAACTTATTTAAACTGGATCTCGGATCAGTGAGAAATTTTACCAGCTCGACCTCCTGGCAAGGGAACTAATGCTCCGGAGCTCTAGATCTCCAATTACAAATAACAATTAGAAATTAAATTTTCCAAACCCTAATCCCACCCCCCCCCCACCCCCGTGCTATCATAGTCAATCGTTTTAGGTCAAAAGTTTTAGGTCAAGAGACTTAAGTGAATAGTTTAAGGTGAAAAGTTTTAGTTGAAAAAATTTAGGTCAATACGTTTAAGTCATTTATTTTAGGTCAAAAGTTTTAGGTCAATAGTTTTAGGTCAATAGTTTTAGGTCAATAGTTTTAGATCAATAGATTTAGACAAAAAATTTTAGTTCAAAACTTTTAGGTCAATAGCTTTGAGCCAATAGTTATAAGTCAATAATTTTAGGTCAACAGTTTTATGCCAATAGATTTAGGTCCATAGTTTTAGGTCAATAATTTTAGGTCAGTAGTTTTAGGTCCATTGTTTTAGGTCAATAGTTTTACGTCAAATATTTTAGGTCAAAAGCTTTAGTTCAATAGTTTAAAGTCAATAGTTTTAGGTCAAAAGTTTTAGGCCTATAATTTTAGGTCCATACTTTAAGTCAATAGTTTAGGTCAATAGTTTAAGGTCCATTAGTTTTAGATCAATTGGTTTAGGTCAATTGTTTTAGGCAAAAAGTTTTAGGTCAAATCTCTTAGGTCAATAGACTTTTGCCAATAGATTAAGGCCAATGATTTTTTGTCAGTAGTTTTAGGTCAGTAGTTTTAGGTCAGTAGTTGCAGGTTTAGAGTTTTAAGTCAATAGTTTTAGGTTAATAGTTTTAGGCAAAAAGTTTTAGGTAAAAACTTTTAAGTCAATATTTTTAGTTCAATAGTTTTAGCTCATAAGTTGTAGGTAAACATTTTAGGTCAATTGTTTTATGTTAATAGTTTAGGTCGATAGTTTTATGTTAATAGTTTAGGTCAATAGTTTTATGTTAATAGTTTAGGTCGATAGTTTTAGGTAAATAGTTTTATGCCCATAGAACAAGCCAATAGTTTTAGGTCAGTAGGTTTAGGCCAATAGTTATAGGTCAATAAATATAGGTCAATAGTTTAATGTCCATTTTTTAGATCAATAGTTTTGTATCAAAAGTTGTAGGTCAATAGTTTTAGGCAAATAGTTTTAGGTCAAAACTTTTAGATCAATAGTTTTATGTCTATAGATTTAGGCTAATAGCTTTATGTCAGTAGTTTTAGATCAGTAGTTTTAGGTCAATAGTTTTAGGTTAATAATTTTAGGTCAATAATTTTAGGTCAATAATTTTAGGTCAATAGCTTTAGGTCAATAGTTTTAGGTCAATAGTTTTAGGCAAATAGTTTTAGGTCAAAAATTTTAGGTCAATAGTTTTATGCCTATAGATTTAGGCTAATAGCTTTATGTCAGTAGTTTTAGGTCAATAGTTTTAGGTCAGTAGTTGCAGGTTTAGAGTTTTAAGTCAATAGTTTTAGGTTAATAGTTTTAGGCAAAAAGTTTTAGGTAAACATTTTAGGTCAATTGTTTTATGTTAATAGTTTTGGTCGATAGTTTTATGTTAAAAGTTTAGGTCAATAGTTTTATGTTAATAGTTTAGGTCGATAGTTTTAGGTAAATAGTTTTATGCCCATAGAACAAGCCAATAGTTTTAGGTCAGTAGGTTTAGGCCAATAGTTATAGGTCAATAAATATAGGTCAATAGTTTAATGTCCATTTTTTAGATCAATAGTTTTGTATCAAAAGTTGTAGGTCAATAGTTTTAGGCAAATAGTTTTAGGTCAAAACTTTTAGATCAATAGTTTTATGTCTATAGATTTAGGCTAATAGCTTTATGTCAGTAGTTTTAGATCAGTAGTTTTAGGTCAATAGTTTTAGGTTAATAATTTTAGGTCAATAATTTTAGGTCAATAGCTTTAGGTCAATAGTTTTAGGTCAATAGTTTTAGGTCAAAAATTTTAGGTCAATAGTTTTATGCCTATAGATTTAGGCTAATAGCTTTATGTCAGTAGTTTTAGGTCAATAGTTTTAGGTAATATTTTTTTTTCAAAAGTTTTAGGTACATAGTTTTAGGTCAATAGTTTCAGGTCAGTTGTTTTAGGTCAATGATTTTGGGTCAGTAATTTAGGTCAATTTTCTTTAGGTCAATAGTTTTTGGTCAAAAGTTTTAGGTAAGTAGTTTTATGTCAATAGTTTCAGGTCAATAGTTTTAGGTCAATGATTTTGGGTCAATAGTTTTAGGTCAATAATTTTAGATCAATATTGTTAGGCAAATTGTTATAGTTCAATAGGTTTTGGTCAAACTTTTTAGGTCAATAGTTTTAGGTACACAGTTTTAGGTCAATAGTTTCAGGACAGTAGTTTTAGTTCAATAATTTTAGGTCATAAAATGTAGTTCAAAAGTTTTAGTTAAATAGTTTTAGTCTAATATATTTAGATCAAAACAGTTAGGTCAATAATTTTAGGTCAATCTTTTTATGCTAATAGATTTAGGGCCATAGTTTTAGTTCAATAGTTTTAGGTCAATAGTTTTAGGTCAATAATTGGAGCAAATAGTTTTAAATTAAAACTTTAAGGTCAATAGCTTTAGGACAATAGTTTTATGTCATTAGTTTTAGGTAAATAGTTTTAGGTCAATAGTTTTATGTCATTAGATTTAGGTCAATAGTTTTAGGTCAATAGTTTGATGTCAATGATTTGGGTCAATAGTTTAAGGTCATTAGTTTTTGGTCAAAAGTTTTAGGTCACTAGTTTTAGACAAATTGTTTTAGGTCAAAACTTTTAGGTCACTAGTTTTATGCAATAGATATAGGTGAATAGTTTTAGGTCAATAGCTTTAGGTGAATAGTTCTAGGTCAATAGCCTTAGGTCAGTAGTTTTAGGTCAGTAGTTTTAGGTCAATAGTTTTAGTTCAATAGTTTAAGACTACCTTTTAAAACAAAGATGCATCAGATATTAAAGGAACCTAAAGTTATGAGTTGGCAAAAAATAAAATACCAACATTGAATGCAATGGGGAGCGAAACAAAAATAGCAAGGGTCTTAAAGTCATGCCATGGCTCTGATTTTTAGTAATTAAATTGTCCTATTTTTATTTTCACTTGCATTATGAAATTAGTATATTTTAGTTGAACGTAAACTTTCAGGTTTTAATATATTAGTCTTAGTTGGTACTGGAACTATTAAAGTTATAATTTTCGTATACAATTTAAAAGTTATCTTTGAATGAAATTTGAAAAAAAAAATCATAAGCAAGGAATTATGAGCTGCATTGATGCAATTTATAAAATAAATGCAAAGAGCAATGACCTGTAAGTAATAGAAAGAAAGAAAAAAATCATACTGATAATACATTTATTACTTTATTTGGTTCAAAGAGTTTACTAAATAAATATAAAATAAGAAAATGGGATCAGAGTATATGAGCAAAAAAAAAATAAATTGATTCTTTGGTTTCTATAAAAAATTAACGAAACTTAATAGTTAACAAAATAAAATATTTGACGTGTGGCAAAATAAGCAAGATATATTAACCAAATGATATTTTAGTCATCGTCTCTCTCTTTATTTGTTCTTCCCTCTCCCTCCCCATCCTTTCCACCATCCCTTTCCCCTCCCTTCCTCCATTCACTACCTCCCCCTCCATCCATCCTACTCCTCCGACCCTCTCCATCCGTCGCCTTCATTGCCTCACCTCTCCTAGCTTGCCTCATTTTACCTTCTCCCCTCCCTTCCATCACCCCTATTCCTTTTCTCCACTCCCTCTCCCTACCTCTCTCCTTCCCTTTCTCCCTGTCCATCCCTCTTACTCCCCTATCCATCCCTCGTTATACCTCTCTCCCTCCATAACTCCCTTCTCCTGCACTTCCCTTCTCCCTCGCTCCCTCCATGTCTGTTCCTCTCCCCCTCCATCCCTCTCCCTTCCTCTCCTCAGTGCTATCCTCACTTTCTCGATTCCTCTCTCCACTTATTCCCTCCTTCCTTACCTCCTTCCATCCATGTGCGCCCGCAGATTAACTTTCCAGGGGGGGGGGGGGGGGGCTTTTTTTGTTATTGTTTAATTTAGGTTTTATTTTCCTTTGGGTTTTTACACTTATTCCCTCCTTCCTTACCTCCTTCCATCCATGTGCGCCCGCAGATTAACTTTCCAGGGGGGGGGGAGGGGGAATTTTTAGTAATGTTTAAATATAGTTTTAATTTACTGTAGGGTATTTGTATGGTGAACGAACGGACAGGACATCAGGTTAGTTACTTTCTCTTTATTGCTCTTTACTTTAATAAATTTTTTGTCTATTTTTGTCTAATTTTTTTTTATCCAATCAATCCAGGGGGGGCAAGTGCCCCACCTTGCCACTACCTGCGGGCGCCAATGCTTCTGTCCCTCCTTTCCTGCCTCCGTCTCACTTCATTTCTCTTTATATAATATATATATATATATATATATATATATATATGAATATAATATATAAATATGTCTTCCGCTTAGTGTTATGAAATTGATCTCGATTTTTCAACCCATTTCACTAGTTAAATATTTTGATCACAATTATAATCCATGTTCCTCTATTGTCTTTAATATCCAATCTATGAACTCAGACACCTTGGAGTACATATTGTTAAGAAAAAACACTTTGTCCTTGCCGGACACTTTTAAGGTATAGCTGGCCAAACCGGCAGCGTAATAACGACCTCCAACTTTGCAACTCAAGGGCCCCCCTGAATCTCCCCGGCCAGCTAGAGCACCGGCTTGGTCATTGCAAAGTTCGCGCGGTCTTAGCTGCCGTCCATACAGTCTGAGGTTATAGAAGCAAATACTTTCCGGCATTACTGAAGTTCTGCCGAATTGTAGCGGCGGCTTAGGTCCCGGTGACTCTGAGAGTCTGCCCCAGCCAGAGATGAAACAAGCGTTCACGCCGTCAAAGACGTCCCCCTTCTTGGGTAGACAGATGGGCCTGACGTAGTCGTTGAGGACAACCGGTGAATCAAATTTGACGAGAGCTACGTCATTGAGAAGGGATTTTAAACTGATTTTTTCGTACCGCACGGCGATTTTCACGCGTCTTATTTGTTTATGAGTTTGATGGGTATGGACGTCAAATAGAGAAGATCCCAAGACGCCAATGGTGTTTTTCCCCACGGGGCAATGGGCTGCTGTCAGTGCCCAAGAACTAGAAATTAGGACCCCGCCACAGGAACCGCCACTGCTGACTAAGCCCACCTGCCATGGAAATACTTTTTCGGGCGCGGGGCCACCAGCGATGATCATTTGATCAGGATCTCTGGCACTGACGCCACAGGGTGCTGTCTCCAGCAAGTCTTGTAAGCTCAAGTTATGGTGTAACAGGGGCTCGGGGCTTTCAATATTAATTCTCTTCGTGTAATTTTTATACTTCTCTTCATAGATCTCGATACTTTGATTCTTAATAGAAATGAAAGAAGGCTTGCACGTTTGATTAGCTGCAATGTGTGAAAGCTGTAAAAAAAAATAAGACATATTAAATAAGGATAAGAATGAGTATAAAAATGAGGTGTAGCTTAAACAATACACATAACACAAATAACACTGTCCGATTGTCTCAATGGTTTGAAATTAAAATGTTGCTTTCCTTTGATTTAGATGTGGAGCTGCCAATCTTAAGGCTGTAACAATTAATCCTTGTAAATTTCTCATATGAATTTTTAGATATCTTATTTTAAAAACCTAATTTTCCAACTTAATTTACGATTAAAGAATTCCGAGACTCTTTCATTACTTTTAGACCATATAAATGAATATATGGCGTCAACTACCGATAGGTAGTGTTCATTACCCGTTTGCGGTGATGTGGGCGAACGCCTCTAGGCCACGGAGCAACACCACCAACGGTGATGTCACATTGGATTTTGCCTCTTCGTGGCGTGGACGACTAATAAGGGGGGGGGGGGGGGGTGACTCCCCGAAGCTAAAAAAATCCCGAAGCTTGCATGACTTCCAACGCAACGGAAGGCTCGCACTAACATGATTACTGTTGCCGTTGATGGGTATGAGACAATGGGTGGCCGCCCAAACCCTTGGCAATGATTAAAAAGACGCGGCCCTGAGAAAGCCGCCCCTAGGTGACCGTTTCATCCTCGCTACGTCCCGACCGGACAACTCCCTGGGCGGTGGGGAGTGGTAACGCAACACCACCTCTCCGGAGAGGAAGTAAAGCCGTCCTGACGCATAGGAGAGTGGACTGCGGACGCTTTAAACGCAGCGTCTTCGGTCAACCGGACGTCCCTCAGAACCAGGAGGGAGGTTCCTTGCGCGCTTCCGCACGGTCTGGAGCTTCGGCTCTGGCATTTTTGGGGGAGTGCCGGGAGGGTATTATGAGTGCAAACTCGAAGACCCACTGGCACCATCTCCAAAGTGACGTTATCAGTGTCCATTATCGGTAGGTAGTGTGTCCGTTACCTGCAGGTAGTGTGTCCGTTACCGGTAGGTAGTGTTTCCGTTACCGAAGGTAGTGCGTCCGTTACGGGTAGGTAGTATGTCAGTTACCGGTTGGTAGTGTGTCCGTTCCCGGTAAGTAGTGTGTCTGTGAACGGTTGGTAGAGTGTCCGTTACCGGTGTGGATCGGTGTAGATATATGTTAGTGAGTGTATTTGGTGCAGAGATTAATTGTGCTGCAGATACTATGTAGTAGTGGTGACTTTTTTTTAGGCATGAGATGCTCATATTTGAACACGACGAAATGCTACGCTAAAGGCGAATTGGAAAAACCGAAAGCCAATAGAATATTGCATGACATTCTTGAGGGAAAAAATAGTGTGAAATCGGCAGAACCAACGCTCCCACTGCCAGAATAGATATTGATGCCGTATTTCACAGAACGATATTAATGCCGTATTTCACAGAACGATATTGATGCCGTATTTCACAGAACAGATGGTGATACCCAGAATATTTGAAAATTACAATTCATCCAAATAGCGGAATTTTACAAAATATATCCATCCTGGGTACACTCTTTGACCCAATGCGCTACCATTTGTTGTTGCTTCTTTTCATATGAGTATTCACGGTCTACAACATGTCATTTTACCATTCGTGATGGAAACTTCAACGAGCTCCTTAACACATCAAAGCTGACTCACCATTTCACTGTTGACACTTATTTCAAGACCGAGGCAAACTGTTTCAATTAGTTTCGAAAAATAATCAATCATAACACAATAATGACTGAAGACTATGGTGTCCTTCAGCGATTTGTTAATAACTACAATTTTGATGCCGTTATCATATGGCCTCGAAAGAAAGTTATTTTGCCTTCAACCTTCATAGTGAGTCCCAGAAGTATGGCTCAAGATTACCAAGATGTTACGTCCATTGTCAGAAAATTTTGGCTAACCTGACTTGTTTGTAACATTCACATGTAATGCTAAATGGAGGGAATCGAGAAACACTTACTTATCGGTCTGCAACCATGCGACCAGCCTGATTTAGTAGTTTGAGTTGAGACTGACATGCCTGATTTAGTAGCAAGAGTCGTTTAAAGTTCCGCCTCGGTGGTTGCCGCAAGAGTTTTTCCTCTACGTGGCGCGAAAGACCAGAAAGGTAGAGCAGACTACCCGAAGCTAAAAAAAACTCAGGTCACCATGTTCGTTTCCCAAGTTACTACGGAAACTTCTCCGCTGGAGAAGGTAAGAAAATAAACCTTAGACATAATTCAATTTAATGGCTAGTACGAACAACAGAAATCAAAACGGAGGGGGGGGGGCTCAAACCCCCTCCTCCCCTGCAGATCGGTGACGGGGCTCAGGCCCACTGTAGGCGCTGGTGCTACTGGGAGCACTAGGTTGGGTGCCCTGGTGACCTCCACACAATCTTAGTAGTTATGCAGCTTAACTGCAATGGGGTCAGAGGGAAAATCCCTGAACTCACCAACCTACTCCACAGCCGGGAAGTGGACGTAGCTCTATTTCAGGAGACGTTACTGAAAAAGCTCCCACTGCACGTCACGGGCTTTTCAGTACACCGCTGCACTTGCCTAAAGTGTCGAGGGCTGGTTACACTTGGCACAACCCTCTTTACAGATAGAATAATAGCAGAGGATTTCAACGCCCATATGGGGGATATGGGCTATCCCGATACTAACGCCTCAGGTCGTTACTTAGAGGAGGTCGAGCTCACGACCAACCTCATTAGGTTTAAAAACGGTGACAGTGAACCAACACTGCTCAATACTGGCTACAGTGTCATGTCTCGCCCGTAGTTAGTAACACTGGTATCGAGGCCAAGATTCAGTGGGAAGACTTAGATGAGGTTGAAAGTGACCATCGACCGACCCTCATCACAACTGATCTTCTGCTGAGGTTTGCTAGGAGGTACTGGCTCTTTGGCAAAGCCAAGTAGTTTCTGTTCCGTGAAAGAATAGAGAGCAAGATCACTGAATAAGCAGGGATTCCCGATGTCTCCGAAAGCACCCAAGCTGCATACAACAACTTCGTGAGTGGTATTCTCACAGTGGCATATAAAACAGTCGTTGGAGCCAACGGGAACCACGAGTTCCGCCCTTTTTGGAATAAGAGGTTGGCAGAGATGGTTCGTGAACGGAAGAGAGCACGGACAAAAGCAGGAAAGTTGAAGACGGCTGCTGCTCGTGCAGCTTACAACAAACTGACGACTGAGGTCGGAACGAGGTTTATAGGGCGAAGAAGGAAAAATGGGTTGGAACATGTGGAAAACTCGACCTGAAAGACGTAAAAAAGATCTGGCGACTGATTGACCCCCTATACTGCATGGGAAAGGTCCGTAATCTGCGTCCATTGCAAAGGACGATAGGCCGGGCTACCACTTATGCCAAAAGTGCAAATATTAAAAGGAGGGAGGAGTCCAGAGAAAACCAGAAACTTAACCATCTCTGGAAGCATGGAGAAGCGGCCCAACGGTGACGACCACATTGTGTGGTCCTCACCGTTGGGCCACGTTCTTTACCACATCGTTCAATATGACTGAGTTGCAAACCACCATCGACAAGTGTAACGCCGACAATCCGCCAGTTCCGGACAATATCTGGAACGAAATTATCAAAAACCTTGGCCCGATAGCAAAGCGAACGCTATAGTCAATTATAAACAGATCTTGGGTAACAGGAATCTGACCAAGAACTTGGCTTAGCGCTACCAACGTTCCTATTCCCCAAGAAGGTAAGAAACTCGATCAACCGACCGGCTAACGTCCGATTTCCCAAACATCGTGTCTCTGGTTAACCAGAGGCTCTACTGGTACCCGGAGAGTACCGGGAGCCTCAGCCCAACCCAGGCGAGCTTCCTCAAGGGCATGCAGCCTGTGGATCAGGTGCTTCGTCTTCTCCAGTCCATAACAGATGGGTTCCAGAAAAAGTCTCATACAGTGGCTGTATTTTTTTACCTCCGACAGACCTATTATCGGGTCTGGAGGTCCGGTCTATTGTTGAAGTTGCAAAAGTTGAGATTAACTGCCAACATGTACAGGTGGGTTGCTGGTTTTCTTACAAACTGGATAATCAGCGCGAAATTCAGCGAGGAAACCTCCAGGAAGAGAACCCTTTAAGAAGGGCTAACGCAAGGGTCAGCCTTTAGTTGCATTCTCTTCCTAGCTTACATCAGTGACTTGCCACAAAATTTAGATACTAATGCTGCGCTTTATGTTGACGATTTAGTTCCGAGCATTGCCCCATAGGCAAATACTTCCGGCGGCTAGATAACAAGGACTCTACCTGACGGCATTGCAGCCTGGTCAGGGAGACACTAGCGCTCCTGTTGACCAAATGTCCCTCACAGATGTCTCAGAGAAAGCCAGGGTGGTTTAGAGGCCTACGTGAGGAAAATGTTGTATGTTGAGCTCAACAGATGGAGCTGGTGGCCAAGGCACTAGCTGGGGTCATAAGAGAGAAATCTCAAACCTTCACCAGAATATGTGTGTTAGTAGCCAGAGTGTTTGAGATGAAAATGAAATTGCTACCTGAAGACTTAACCAGAAACCAAAGATTTGGGCATGATAGTGCTCTGATCCAAGTGAACGAGCTCCAATCCCGTGGTCTATCCCATGGGCACATATTGCTATTGAGCGCCAAACCCGTGGTCTACCACATAGGAACATATTGCTATTGAGCTCCAAAACTTTTGGTCTATCACATGGGCACATATTGCTATTTAGCTCCAAACCCGTTGTCTACGACATGGGAACATATTATTATTGAGCGCTAAACCCATGGTATACCACATGGGCACATATTGCTATTAATCTCCAAACCCGTGGTCTAC